CAAAACATGGAAGCCATGTAGTGTGTATTGGTGAGAGTGGAAGACCGCCTAAGCGGGGTCGTGGATGAGGTCCGCGATGTATTCAATGGCATGCTCAAGGAAGTTTACAGCACTGTGCGCCAACAAGAAAGAAGCTCATCCAACTTGCACATCCAAGACAAACTTGATAGTCTTCAAACCCAACTCAATGAAATGAGAAGCAAGTGGGCGACATGGAGGATGACCATGTCCTCCCCAATGGCCATCTAGGCCCAAATAAATGAAATTAAAGAAGAGTGCTCTACCATGAAGTTAGACTTGTGTACCTCCTCCAACGTCCAAGCTTGGCTACAAGAACTCAAGGTAGAGTGTACAGTTTTGAAGAGAGTCAGTCGTTGCTAATCCAGCCAGCACCTCCACTATGCACACTCCTTCCTACATCAGGATTAGGGAACCAACTCCCTATCCTAGAAGATGCAATTGCACGTGAGATTGACAATTTCCTGTGGTAGATGGAATACTATATTGCAACAACCAACTTCAATGATGAAATGACTCAGATATGCATGACTACAATGTATTTGAAGAGACAGTTCTACCCAATGAACATGGAGTTCCTTTCTCACTGAAGGATGAAGTTCCTCAAGCACACGACTCCCTCCATGACTATGTCAAGGAGTTCTCGGCTCTTGCCTTGGAGATCACCGACATGTCTGATAAAGACTTGTTATATCCAACTTCATGGATGAGCTACGACCATGGGCGGAACTAGATTTCCAATGAAGAGGTGTTCAAGACCTTGCAATCGCCATGGCAGTGGCCGAACACCTCAATGAAATGAGACTATCAGATGATGAAGTCGTCGAGCCTGCTAGCCTACACACCTCAAATTTGAGTGGGGGAGACAAACAACCAAACTCTTCTCCAGAAAAGCAACCTTACCAACACCATCCACCAGAGTACCAGAAGGGGAAGTAGCTATAGGGAAATCGAAACTCCCACAACAACAAATACCTAGGCAGACCAACCCATCCTTTGACGTGCTACATTTGTGTGGAAGAGCACTTGACAAAGTATTGCCTAAATCAAGAGAATACAAATGCTCTTATCACCAAACATAGTGATGATGAGCAAAGCGTCAGGGAACGAATTACCTAGGAACCAAGAGTGGGCACTTTTCAACTTTTCAATGCCATAATGAAAAAAAGGGGCTACCTCCAAGTAACTCGCCTCAATTAAGAGACGACTGAAGTATGTTGACATAAACCTTTGCGGGAGGCCAACCAGGGTCCTTGTTAACACAAGGGCCATTCACACCTTCATATCCATTGCATAGGCCAAGAGACTTAACTTTGCCGTTTCAAAGGAGCTAGGATGGTTTAAAGCTATCAATACAGGTGCTAGACCAATCGAAGGCAAGACTCACCAAGTGAGACTTCATGTCGGCACCTGGGATGGAGAAATTGATCTTTTTGTTGTTTAAATGGATGATTTGGATGTGGTCTTAGGCATGAACTTTATGCTACAGGAAAATGTGGCACCAGCACATCTTGGCACCATGCTTATCCTAGATGATCATTCACCTTGCATGGTTAAAATGGCTACACTAGCTAACAAGCCAAAGAAGCGCATCTCAGCCTTGCAACTTTTCCATGAAGAAGTCTTGTCTGGGCCAATGATAAGTATGCAGTAGAGAAGACCCCCACTCATGCAACCAATGCAACCAAGGTAGAGTATAGACGAGAGCGCAATAGAAAGCAACCACTGAGCAAGTCATCCTCAACATTTCAATAACAGCTGCTATCACGCTTGCCTTCAACCATCAAGCTCAATAGAAGACCTAAGGCCACCACCAACAATGATCGCTCCTACTATTATGTCAATCAGGGAAAGTGAGTGCAATCCAATTCTATTAGGGTCCACATCCTTGCCTTGCCTCAAACCAATCGCCATAGTAAACTTGTGAGGAACAATCATTGGGAAAACATCCAAGGGAACCAATACCACAAAAATCCAAACTATCCTTTTGACCCAACCTTGGTCTTAACTTTTCCTACCCTCAATCTGGAACATCTGAAGTCTTACCTTGAAGCAGCCAAGAAGGGACATTACTTGGGACTTAGCCAAAGATTTTCCCAACATGATGAACATCTTCAAGCTGTCTACCCAACCCTATGCCCAGGCCTTGGAAGAGACAGAGTTCGTGAAGCAGTCGAAGAATCCTCCTTTGTTAACAGAAGATCCATGCAACAAGCAGATGCCAGTCTTCAAGGATGAAGATTGAATTTAGTGGGGGAGACTGTCACAAGTGAATTCTTCTCCGCGTCCACGAGTGCCATCCACCATGCATGAAACACACCTTCAACACATCATCAGAGTGTCTTGGATGGGGCTGTCTATGTATTTTGTAAGGGGGGATGCCAATGGTAATACTGTAATTATATAGTATGATTTTTTAACATTCTGATGTTTCCTTTTGTCATTTCCCCGAAAGCATAACTTACTTTTTGAGGGGAAGTAGATAGTTGAGTGTGCCAGTACCATGTAAATGTTAAGCACAAGGTCCCCTTGACACAAACTTGTGTATTTGTGCTTGCTATCATTCTATGCAATACAAAGAGCATTTTTACTAATTCGTGTGCATTCTCCGACTAACCCCGTAACAATGTGGCATGCCACGTGGCCTATAATATCGTTAATTTACCTTTGTATGTCATATGACATTCACTTATGTTGCCAAGTGACATCCACGTGTCATTGATGCCACGTGGCCTATATATATATCACCACATGCCATCTGAACATAATTAATGACAATTGTGTGCTATGTGGCATGTACACTTATAAAGCATTTTGTTGTATTTAAACGCCATCATTGAAAAACACGTTTTTAAAAATTTCCATCCAAATAGTTTTTTAAGTAAAAGTACAAAGCCAAAAGTATAGCATGTACTTTGTACTTTGGTGCTATTGAAAGTATAAAGCACGAAGTACTACCAAATAGGGCAACAATACTAACATTTTCAAATTTCATCTCCTAGGTGCCTAGGCGCCCTGTGGTTGCCTAGCTTCGCTTAGTCACCTTGAAAACCACGGGGGTGCCTAGGGATGATCTTCCTCCTAAGTTAGTAATCTCCTCAGGCTCATCCACCATATTTGATATTGGTTGCAACACTTGTTTCTTTTGGGGCCTCTCTGTAGTAGTCTCTTCGGGCCCTTCTTACTTGAGACAATCACCTCCGATTGCTGGGTAGCCTTGCATTCAACCACTTTTTTCTTTGTTGCCTTGGTGTCAAAGACCTTTTTAAGTGTCATTGCTTGAGCCTTATTCTTTGCTGCAACCCTCGCCCTTTTCCCAGCAATAAGATCTATGTATGCATAATCGGATCAGATGCCAGGTTGGGCCGTAGATTTTTTAGTATTATTGACAAGCCTACTCTCTCTCTCTCTCTCACTCGTCTCTCTCCTTCTCCATATTAATTTCTCTATTATTCAATTGTTTAATTTATATCAAATTATGTTATAAAAAAATATATCAAATTATATTATCAATTAAATTTATAATCAAATAATAACTTTAGAATTAATTAATAAAATATTTTAAATCATTACATTAAATTCAATTAAGTAAATTAATCAATAACTTAATGATACTTAACATCCTTACTTAACTTATTTTATAATTGAATAATAACTTTAAAGTTAATTAATGAAAAATTTTAAGCAATTACATTCAATAAAGTAAATTAATCAATAACTTAATGATACAACAATTAACTAAACTACTTAATTCATCAATCTAAAGTGGGCTCGACATTTTTCGATTTTTGGTTAATTCGATGTAGTTAATTCATTTTTTGAGAATTTTGGTTTTGGTTTTACTTTTCAAAATAAAAAATTTGGTTAACTCAAAAAACCAAATTAATTGAATTTCATTATACAACATGTAATATATAATTTATAATATATATAATATACAATGTATAATATAATATTTTTTATATTTATATAATATAAAATATATTATAATGAAATTCAATTTCAATTGAAATAACAAAAATTGAATCTAAAATTTTAGTTTAAGTACAATTTATATTTTCTATTTTGATTTTTAAAATTTTGGTTTATTCAACTCATTTTTTAGCTGAATATATTGAATGCTCACCTCTAGTCTAGAGGGTGGATTAATTGTTCAATTTTATATTTTATATTCATATGCTCTCAAAATAATGGGTAGTGCAAGGAATTGGTATGAACCGTTGGAGTTGAAATTTGTAATTATTAACGAATCGATTTTGTTTTATCCCAAATTCGATTTTTGGCAAAAAATCATTGAATTAGTTAACAATTCATTGATTCGGATAATCAAACTATTGATCAGTTTAATTCATTTAACGGTTTTGATTTTTTTTTTATTTTAATTATTTTTAATTTTTTATTAGAACGAGCCATCCATTCGAATCGGACGATCAACCTGTTGACCTAAAAACCGGTGGCAATTCCGAGTCATTTTTTTAAATATATGATTTATCATTGTCAATCTAACAATGTCATTATGTGTCAACCATATTTTTTTATTTTAACTTTATCTACTTCGATAAACATTTTATAGAAATTTAATTTTTTTAAATTTTTTAGTAACTTTTTCACGGGGGCCCCTATTTCTACATTAATAAATGAGAGTACATCGAGACGGATAGACAGAGGGTGAAAGGATCTGCTCCTCATAAATGGGCGTCTCACAGGCACATCCACCGTGCATTAAGAACATCTCCCGTGAATTATAATAAGTATGGGAGATGCCCCAATGCATGATAGGATGTGCATGTGAGGCGCCTGTGAGGAACTCAGACAAGGGAAGGACAGACAGACGATCCCGACCCTCCGATTCCATCCCAAAGTCTCCGCTACAACCAGTGGAGAGACCTTGCTAACACCAACCAAACAGTTGGCACCTTGCAACTCCATAAATCCTTTTTTTGGTGGCAAATCCCTCTAGCATATCTCGAGATGTTGGTGCGAACTATCCAGTCCATATTTAGCCACGTGTCAACTCAGAATCAGGACCTTGACCGAGGACCCACAGGTCACAGGATATCCCGGCTAAATTCTCTCATGTGTCTTTTGGTAATACAATGAAGGTAGTACTTAAGTCCATTGGCCTGTTCGTGCGGATTGAATTCCCAAATTGTCGTTGGAAGGCTGGAGACTCTTGGCTAATGGCTCCTGCCTTCAGAAACTCCTATCCTGCCTTGGCGGTGCGATATTCCTCGGTTCGATTTTCTGTTTGATTAGAACTCTTCACCACGAAAGAGGATCATAGAGCGAAAGCAAAGTTCGCAACTTTTTTCTCCTTATTCTTCAAGCCTGATTTCCTTGTACTCCCTGTAAGTCAGGTTATGACTTTTCTTCTTCCCACATTGCTCTGAAAATGGGTTATGATCATTTGCTACTCTCATTGGTTGATTTGATTTCATGTGTTTTGACCCTTTTGATGTGTTTGCATGTTTTTTCTTGATTTGGAAAGCTGTTGTTTATTTTTTACTCTTTGTTTTGTTTGAACTCTGTGAAGATTTGATGTTGAGTAGCGGTATTTTAACCAGTTGGGGTGCTATTTTTTATTCAATATATTGTTTCTGGTTATGAGTTTGTTGATATTTGTGATTCTTTATACTGGGTATAATTTGTTCTGATGCATCTTGTTCATTTTATTGGTTTTCCAGAGCTGGGTTTTGAGAGGTAATGCTTGATTGTATTCCTGGCTTCAAATATTAGCATTTTCAGTTTCCGTTAGGATTTCTGTTGTTGTGGCCTTTAACTTTTGGTTTGATGGATTGGGTGGGTTATTGGGTAGAGTTGGAGTGGGTATAGATTTTGGAATTAATCTAAGGTGACGCGGGTGGTCTGGCTCTAGAATTCGCTAACATTACATTCTTCAATGTAAATCAGCACTGGGAACTAAAGATAGAGATGGGAATTGTTTTGTAAATGTCGATTTAGAATGGGTAACTTAGCTTTGCCTACGAGATAACTTCTAAATTTCTTTGTCTGGAAGCTTCTATGTTGTTTGAAGGACTTGTTTGCTTTATGTTGCCCAGGATTTTATTAGAAATTTCTTGATTTTTTTTTCTAAATTCCTAATTATTTGGTGGACATAGGATTCGTTTGGCAATAGAGTTTAATCTTTATTGAATGATCTGTATTGATATTTGTGCTTTTATCTGGATGCATTATATATAATTACACAGATCTTCTGTTTAGTATGCCCCAGCCATTGGTACTTAAATTATATCTTATGGTGATATGTAAATATAGAGTGCCAGATGCATAAACAGCTTATATTTACAAAAAAAGTTGATCACACATTCTTGCTATCAGCATATAAAACCTCACTATTTGCAACATGGCGTGGCCTTCTTTTTTTTCCGGAATTTGGACTAATCCTAAATATTGAATCTTAAATTCCAAATCCTGGTTATATATAATGGTGGTTGATGTTCACAATCTGTCTTTTTCTTTATACATACCATGTAGTTATTTATTTTTGAACCCATTCAATATGTTTATTGTACACTAGGTGGTATTTGACTGTTATATTTTGAGAGGTATTATACTTTTTTTTGGTGGAAAAAGAGGTATGATACTGATGGAACCAATTGCAGATGCAACACATAGCTTTCCTTGGATATGAGATTTTTCTATGCCTATGAACTGCTATGGGGGTTTGTGAATGGTTGCTGCAGCTCGCTTGTGTTGACAATATTGATGTGGATGATAGCAGTGTCTAGCATTTAAGATATCTGGCTTCTAACTGCCAATTGGGTATGAATTCTTTAATTTGTATACCAAACAAAGGGCTCTATTTTAACATGGTTTAGATCTAGGCAGCTCTCCAAGGGCCAGAGTGATAATTTATACAATGCACTTACCTTGATAAACTGTTACTGATTTCAGATGGCTCTTATGAGTATCTACTAATGTCAACTCTTAGTTAACTTGAGAGGGAGGGATTGGGTTGAGAATGATTGGAGTATGATGTTGTGAAAATTAAGAAGTTTTTCTGCTTTATGCTAATTTATAAGCATGGAGAGTTCACCATCACCTTCGGGCCAGAAGCACAACCAGCATATGCCCATGCACAAATTTTCTTCTGTTGGGACCCATAAAGATCTTTGGTATATTACACGAGAAGGGTCCTTGCCTGAAGTAGATTCAGCTTTGGCAGCACTGAAGAAAAATGGGGGCAATATTGATTCAAGGAATATGTTTGGCCTCACTCCGCTTCACATTGCAACGTGGAGAAATCACATTCCAATAGTGAGGAGGCTACTTGCGGCTGGTGCTGATCCTGATGCTAGAGTATGTTAGTTATATATGTCTTCTTTCTACCTTCTTGTCTTGTTTAAGAAAAAATGGAAAAAGAAAAGAGCAGTCCTTTTAATTAGTTTCTGTTGCAATGCCAACTATTTTGTTGTTCTTAAGAGGCTATTTTTGCCCCAACAAAATTCTGTTGGATCTATACTAGGACCTGTTATTATTGTTTACCTCCCTTGTTAACTTTTCAAAGCACATTTATCTGTGCATTTGATTACATAATAAGGAATCTTTAGCATTTTCGTTATTTTGTTTGCTTTGGAAGCATTTTCGTGTTTCTTATATTTTTTAATTCTTTCTTTTGAAATCTGTATTTTAAAATTCTTACATGAATGGAAACTATCAGTTTAATATTCCTAATTTTATTTTTTTCCTTTACAATGTGGATGCTATCTAAATCTTGATTGAATGGTCAGAATTGTTGATGCTATTTCCCAAATACTTTCCTTTGCCGTTATTCATTTCGCTACTTCTTTGGCATTTTCTTTTTAGACTTTCACTGGGACCATGAGTTCTGCTTTTATCATCACAGCTCTACCATTGGTTCTTTTTAACCTTAAGCCCATGCTTAGTTTCCCTGAACTGACACTCAATGAAAAACTTGTATAGATAAATCTAATAAACCCTTAAAATGAGATTAGAAGTTGAGAGTAGTAAGGAAGTATCTAATTTAGCCCCTCTTAAAAGCTGTCATCAGCCCCCGTTGGTCTCCACCAGCTAGTGGTTTCATTAACCTGAACTTTGATGGAAGTAGTGAAGGGATCCCTGGTCCTTAAAACGGAATGTGCCAACTGCCAAGTTGGCATTTCCTTGCTTTCTGGTTTATTCTAAAAGGCAGCTGTCTTTTTTTTTTGAATTTTTCTAATTTTAAAATTGAACAAAATAATTGAAGTGGCTAATCACTTTTAAGACTTTTAACTCTCATTAACTCTCTCTCCTCGTTCCCATTGACTCTTTTAATTATCTCTCCTCATTAATTATGCCATTTGACTCTCTCCTTCAATAACTCATGCCATTAATTCTCTCTCCTCTCCATTACTCCATTAAATTGCCTAAGAATCATTAACTTTATCTATATCTATATTCATTTTAGTTTAACTATAATTTTATATACACTAGATATATTTACATTAAATTGTAATTATTAATAATGATTAATTATATTGAAATGGAGATATTCAATGGTATATTATTAGGCTAAATAATCTACTTCCATTTAATTTTCCAATTAACTAATCAAGCAATTTGCATTTCAGAACAAATGTAATTTACTTCACCCAATAAATAAAATTAGTATTTTAAAAACTGACTTGGAGGCTGAATAGTTTTTGCCTTTAGGTCACAAGTCATGGTACAACTGTTTGGGTTGGACAAATCAAACCGTGACACATCATCCATTTATATATGTAGAATATAAGGTCTATTTGTTTTTCATTTTTTATAAATATAAGAGCCAAAAATTGAAATTTAAGGCCACAATTGAGTACTTTTCTTTTTTTTTTTTTGTATAGCGGGGCTACAAAGATCGCGAAAAGTTATCCAAAATAAAAAAAACGATCATCCCCAATCAGACAATCATACAACTGAGCACAAAGTTAAATCCTCTAGAAGTTTTCAATACATTATATACTATAACTTGTGACCCAATTACTAGGTCAAAAGGGCCAATGGTTCAATTGCCCAGAAAATAGGGTGGGTTTTAGGAAACCCATAGAAATAGGGTCGATTTATGGTTTGAATGGTTGAACTATTTTGAGTCAATGATAGCCGACAGGTTAAATACATTGAATAAAACATCATAAACATTATAATCCATTTGAAAATAATAAAAATTAATTAACCATAGTAACAATAATTTAGTAAGTTACTTAAATAAAATAAAAATAATTATTAATTATTGTTATTGATAAAAATAGTTTTTTAATATAATAAAAATGAATAAGATAATTAAAAGCTAATATCAATTTAATATTAACACAAAACTAATACAAAATTATCTAACAATTATTAGTTTTATAATTAGTGTTTACTAATATAAAAGCAACTTAAGTTCCACTAAAAATAAAAACTTAGTATAGTTAATCAAACTTAATAAGGATTAAAGCAAAAAATTAATAAAAAATTATAGTTTAATTAATTTAAAATCAATTTAAATTCCATTTTAAAATAAGGAAAAGTATAAAAACCTTCTTGGATTTTCTAACAATCCTATGTAACTCCCTTGTGTTTTGACCTTAACAAAAACCTCCCCTCTTTTAGTTAGAAAGAAGTATTCACCCTACCATTTACAATGATTGAGTAATGAGCAGATTGCATATATTACCTTATTCGTTCCCTCCATTTATCACCAAAACTATAGCATACAAAATATAATCTAAGAACTTCCAATCCACATAATCATATGCTTTCTCCAAATTCAGCTTACAAATATGCCCCTTTCCCCTTGTTCCTGATAAATGATTGAAGGAAGCACTAATTTAATCCCAAGAGAGAGGTCCTGAGCTACGATTTTGTAGAGATTACTAGTCAAGCTAATAGGCCTAAATTCAGTAGAGATTAGAGCGTCACGAGACTTGGGAATAAGAAATACAAAAGTGGCATTGACCATCCTTCTTAATCACTCCTCTATAAGATAATTCACCAAAAACCTCCATCAATTTGCCTTTCACAATTCCCCAATAAGTTTGATAGAAACCCATGGTAAACCATAATGTCCAAGGGCCTTTGAAGGGTCCATATTGAAAACAGCCTGTTTCACCTCCTTTAATTGGAAAGGTTTCTCTAACTCACAGACAAGAGATGAGGGATCCAACTTGGGCGGGAGTGACATATGTTTCTTAAGAACTAAGAAAATGAGGATGCTATTGACTCCTGGTCAGTAATAACTTCCACATCTACTTCCAATTTTGAGATCAACTTCTTTTTATCTAGAGAGTGAAAAAAAATTGTGTTATCATCTCCTTTCTTTATCCATTTACATCTAACCTTTTGCCTCCAATAAACTTCCTCTCTCTTTAATAATTCCTCTAAATCCTTTAGGTTCCATCTATTCCCATCCAAATCTAATAAATCTTCCGCACCTTCCTTGAAATCTAACTTTTCAATTTTACTCGATATTTGGCTTTTTTTCTTCTCTTCTCTCGCAAAGATCTCCTTATTTTGCACTCTTTCAATTTCCCTTGAATTCTTTGGGGCTTTTGAAAAATCTATACCACTTCAGTAGAAATCTTGTTGAATTAAAAAAATATGAAATAAAGGAGTTTCTTGAAGAAAGAAGGAAGAGAGAAGGAGAAGAAGAGAAGTTGAAAAGAAAGGAGAGCAATAATTTGGTTGCCCCCTTCACTTATTATTTATACTAAAAATAATAGAGCAATACAAAGACAACTATGCCCTTATAGGGCGACAAGACATAAAACAACAAATATAAGACACAAAACATAATAAAATTTGGACTCACATAATTACTGTAGTCCCCACCTCCTATCTAACAACTAACATAAAACATCTACTCATAAAAAACATCATAAAACTGATATCTTCAACACTCCCCCTCAAGTTAGGAGTAAATGTCACAGATTCCCAACTTGCGTAGATCATGTTCAAGCTTGTTCTTTGCCACCCCTTTAGTGAGAACATYAKCCAGYTGCARYTCTGAAGAGACATAAGGCAAACAAACTTCTCCGGTTGTTACCCTTTCTTTTATAAAGTGTCTATCAACTTCAATGTGTTTTGTCCTATCATGCTGAATTGGATTGTGGGCAATATTGATTGCAGCCTAATTGTCACAATATAACATCATAGGTTCCTTTGCTTTCACCCCAATCTCACTCAAGAGAGATATAACCTAAAGAAGTTATGAGACACCATGAGCCATTGATCTATACTCAACCTCTGCACTTGACCTTGCCACAACCGCTTGCTTCTTACTCTTCCAAGAGATCAAGTTTCCACCTACAAAGGTACACACTCCTAATGTGGACCTCCTGTCATCTAAGCATCTTGCCCAGTCTGCATCTGTATAGGACTCTAGCTTCAGATTTTCATGATTTGAGAAAAGAATGCCTCTGCTAGGGTCCTTCAGATATGCAAGTATCCTCTCATAGCTTCCCAGTACTGAACCCGAGGTGCATGCATGTACTGACTCACAACACTGACAACATAAGAAATATCTGGTCGTGTCATACACAATTAAAGCAGTCGGCCCACCATTCTTTGATATCTCCCCACATCCTTTACCAATTCACCACCCACACCATTAATTCTGTGATTTGGATCAATAGGAGTGTCTGTTTGTTTGGTCCCCAGCTTCCCAGTCTCTCGCAATAGGTTAGTACATACTTTCTCTGTGAAATGAAGATCTCATGCTTGGATCTTGCAACTTCAATCCCCAAGAAGTATTTGAGTTGACCAAGATCTTTGATCTCAAATTCTTGCTGCAATGATTTTTTGAGATCATCAATCTCTTCCAAATCATTTCCTGTCACCACTAGATCATCCACATACACAATCAGAATTGACACCAGAGCATCTCTCCTCTTCACAAAGAGAGTGTGATTAGACTGTGTCTGTGTGTATCCAAAACGGATGAGTGCCCCTCTGAACCTGTCAAACCAAGCCCTAGGTGACTGTAAATCACCATTGAGAAGACATTTTTAACATCAAACTGGAACAAAGGCCATGAATAGGTGGCTGCTAGAGATAAATGGATACGAATTGAACTCATCTTAGCTACTGGTGCAAAGGTTTCCAAATAATCAACACCATACGTATGAGTATACCCTTTTGCTACCAACCTTGCCTTGTATCTCTCTATCTTGCCACTAACCCTATACTTCACTGTAAATACCCATCTACATCTGGCTATCTCCTTGTCTGGGGGGAGATCAACTATTTCCCAAGTTTGGTTTTTAACCAAAGCATCCATGCATGGTTGTTTTCCACTCAAGTTTGGAGAGAGCCTCAGTAACATTCCTAGGTATAGACAC